ATTTGCTTGCTCATTCTTCAACCTGCAATTTTTTTCGTATATGCCTAAATATTTTACAATAAAAACATTATGATTTACCTTCTATGCTAATAATTTTTTTTATTATGATTATTTTTCTTGCATACTCCGTATGGTGGAAATTTTCTTCTTTTTGATGTTGATGAAAACTTGTTTGACATCTCGACAATAAAAACTCCTCCAATTGTTTTTTCATCTCTCATTATTTTTTTAACTCCACAGCTTGTTAAGCATTAATTAATTCTGCAATAGTAATTTTTGAGGGATCCTTAAAATCTTCAAGTGATGAAATATTTGACTCAAACTTTTCTGGTAAACTCAAAAGAATTTTTTCAACAATTTTACAATCGGAAAACTCTTTACCAAATAATCTAATTTTGCTGAAAATTGTTATGAGCTTGTTAACTTGATTCCTTCATCTTTTGAATCTTAAATTCTCTCGAAACATTCAAAACTTGCATCAATCGGGTTTGGTCATTGCCTAAATACTAAGTTTTAAGCAAATCCTATATCTCTTTTAGAATTTCACAAGCCATGATCCTAGTGAAAATCATTTCAGAAACTGAAGAAAATATCCCAATTGCACACCATAAGGCAATTGACATGCTGTTTGCATTTAAGCATTCAAAAAGTAGGTAATCATCTTGTTGTGCGGCAGAAAACCTTTAAAGAGTCAAAGAAAGAGTAAATCACCTATCAAGTGTGCATGAAAACTTTTGGTTTTCATTATGTTGCATAGTTCACATTTGCATTGCATCATTTTGAGCTTTAGAGTCAATATTCTATTAGGACTTTGGCTAGTGTCTCTAGACTAACGTACAACTTTCGATAAATAAGACTCAACTCCAAGACTCAACCTGGCAGACAAAAAGCTCAATATGGCACCGAGAATAGAAACTTTGAAATAATTGTATGTGAGGATGTATGTCACCCGCCCTCGGTACTAACCAAATTACTTTCATATGTTTCTAGCTTTGTTGCATGCCCCTAGCTGTCTCAAGGATGAAGATTTAGAATTTGGGACGAATCCTTCTCAATAAAGGGGGATGATATGATATCTAAGAGCTTCGAATTCATGTAAAAAGAAAAATACCAAAGTGAGAAGGAATCCCACAGGAGGTAGCCAACCTGCAGACCCGCTCGTGAGAAAACCCGCAAGGGGCACATATGTCGCACACACCGACAAGCTTGTGGGCTTGAAAACTAGTGAGCTGAGCTTTCTTAAAAATAGTAGTACTAAAGAGCCTTATATCAATGTAGCTTTGATGCTCACTTGACATTCTAAGAAGATTTTCTATAAAAGGAATAATAAAAAATATTTCCTCACCAGTTCTTTCGTATTTCACTCACTTGGCTTTTATCCTCTGATAATCCATCCACCCTTGCTTTCTACCACTCTATCTTCCACCCTCAAATTGAGTGTCGGATATACCCTCTTAAATGTAAGTATTTTCAAGTATTGTTCAAGACACTACAAGAAGTCCTATGGAAGAAATACCGCACAAATACTAAAAGCAAGAGTTTTAACACATAGATGAACGGGGGAGTGTGTTATGTTACA